CACCACCATTTATCACCTTGGTTGGAGACACAAGGTGAGCCAGGGCATATTCACCAACCAACGGACACTACTTTCAAATTCTCTGACTCCAGGTGCATGATGTGCATGCATAACCGCCCACAGTGGAATACAGATAGGGACCACGCATCCTGAAGAACCTCCAGTTACAGGTAAGTAACCCTCCTCGTAGCAATTGTTAATCATGTGAGAAAATAAGGATTGTTTCTAATGATGGGAGCATCACAAGAGGTTCAGAGTTCTTGTTCTCTTCATATAAGAATCTAAAAATTCAGATGCATTTCCAAACTATGCACAACTCTTGGGTCAGCAGAAGTGGGCTGAAAATCTCATGAGAACAATTGAGCTTGTCAAAATTAACAGGAATATTTTTGTGAAAATTTCATATTTTTTTCATCAGAATTTTGAATTCTGAAATGTCTTGATCTGCTCTATAGACCAGACTTTCTCATGAGATTTCCAGCATTACTGGTTGCATTCCCATCTGGTTAGCAGAAGACGGTATGTTGAAAGAAAGGATCCAACGTTTTCAATTCTTAAAATCTTAAGTTTACTTTTAAGAATGGGCAAAGATTTGGCAGGGTAGAGGGGGAGGGACAAGTCTTTTGTATTTTTCTTCTTATTTGGTTTGCCTACCTCTTGTTTTTTTCATTTTCTTAATCCATTCAGATATTAGGATTAAAAAGCCAAGCATAGGTAAACTATATAAATCCAATAATATAGTATTTCTATATCATCTGAGTAAAACATAAGACATTTCCAGGCAAGGATGCGATCTGACTAGTAAATGGAGACCATTATACTCCATACGTAGTGAAGTTTGAGAATTTAATATTTAGTGTCATAAATCCTACACTGTTATTTTCCTGTTATATCTTTTAGCATATTTTCCCATGAACACTTAAAATGATTTCTCACAAAATATGATGATAGAATGGTTCATAGAAGGCTTTGTCCTGGATTGTGAAAGTCAGGCTGTGTTAATAGTGTTTGCTTGTTTTCTGTATCACTGCTCAACAGTTTCGGGAGGGTTCTCCCCCTCCACCCCCCCAAAAGAAGGCAAATGAACCACATGTTTCTTCAGATTGTAAATTATAAATGAGTTGCATAATCATCTGTTACTTAGAAGCAAAGGTCAAAGGAATTTTTTTGTGTTTCTTCTATGTTCTTTAACTGGATCTTCTTTGATGTCTTCACCGCACATACATAGTGATCATTATATCCCACACTCTTGCATCATTAATGCAACTACAAACGAAACGACTCAAGTTATGAATGCCCAGCGCTTCTGTCTAACACACACAGATGTGGGAAAAAACTGAGCTAAATAAAAATACTTACTGAAGGGATTGTTCCCTGGTGTAAATGTGCTTAAAAGAAATAGGAACAAATGAGAGGCTGATGCGCCTATCTGGCATATTTTTTCCCCTCCATAAATCTGCTATCTATGCCTCTTGAGTTGCAAAATGGGAGAATGTTTTCGGGTAAAACAAGACCAATGAAATATGCTTAATGATCTTTAATTACATGCTTTATTTGTGTCATGAACTTAGGCAAGTAACAGTGTGCATTAACCCAGCGTATTAAACATTTAAAAAGTAGTGATGTGTATAGCTCAGAAATAGCAAAAATACCCCCAAAATATTCTTTCTTGTAGGAACATTAGGATTCCTGCTTTATTTTAGAGACAAAATGGACTGAAGTGCTTTCCCTTTTTAATGGAATTATTTTTACTTAAAAACAAACAAAAAAATTATTTAGCTCTAAGTACAGTTATGTGATCACATGTACCTCTCACAAAAAACACGATCCTAATTAGCACTGCTTTTTGACAAGCTCAGCTGTGAGTCTCTATGTCCATTTGATCCATGGACTGAAATACCTTCTCACCCTGAGAGGTTCTCAGTGCTGAAGCATATTGGCAGGGCAATCTTAAGAAGCTGTATGATCTTTAGCTGTTTGTGGGATGTCAGAAGGCTAATAATCCAACACATATCAGAAACACAAATACACATACAAAGCTGGAATGGCCATTTCAAATTGTGGTATAATAAAATGTGACAAATCTCCAGGCTGGTTGTACCTATATGTGTAAATAACCATATGTGCAAATTTTCAGTAAGAGTCCGTTCCCAACAGAGATTATTAAAGCGTGTTTCCAGAACAAGTCCCTCCTCTAATCTAAAAAGCATTTTTTATCATGGTTTGTAAAACAGTCATGTCTGGTTTACAACAGCTAGTTCTCCTAACACAATTTAATTCCCCAACTTGGCTGGGGACAAATTACTTTAAGTACAGGAACATAAAAAAAAATCAATTTTTTTGTCATTTCACACATTTTGGTATTACAAGATTTTGCCAAAATCACGGCTCAGATTTAAATAGAAAGTTATAAACTGGTGCCTTGGTATTTTGAAAACAAGAACGTTTGAAATAATTAATGCCTTTCGGGATATCCACTTTGCATGCAGAGTAGCTACTCTTTAATAAGAAATTTTACTACCTCATCTTACTGTGCAATTTTACTGCCTATTATTTTTACTATGCATTTATAAACCCTTATATTTAGGATTTATAACCTCAGCTATTTCACATCATAACAGGTTGAAATTTGGCATACCAGTGGCAGCCCTGATTTCATTTTTTTTCACAGAAAATTATTAACTGTTAATTGCTAATTTATAAAGATTGTGTGTGTGTGTGTGTGTGTGTGTGTGTGTGTGTGTGTGTATAATAATAACTAACTATAA